GGGGGGGGGGGGGGGGGAAGAAAAGAGCAGCCATCCAGGATACTCCTGGCAGCACTTGTACCAAGGGAATTCTCTCTCAACTGAAGCTGAGGCTTCTGAACTAATTCAGATCCTACGCAAGTACGTAGGGAGAAGGATTTCACCCAAAATGAGAAACAATACATGAAACTCCCAACAGGAATGAGCTCTGCTGATGAACGACTGCCCCTGCGTCCATCAGCTCTCCAGAGCTGCTCGAGGTTTGCACTGCCCACCCACAGCAGAAGGGGCTACTCTTTTCCAGTGGACATGCATAGGGCAACAGGCCAAAGCCAAAAATTAAATGTAAAGAATTTTAAGAGACAGCTGAGGAAACAAAAGTATTCCTTCTCCCTTTTTGCTCTTGGAGCAAGAGGTCAAGAGCAGGGTGGAAAGGTGGGAAAAGGCCACAGAGATTAAAGGTGTTAGATAAAAGGAGTAGGAATCCCCAGAGAAAGAACTTCTGTGTTGTGCATAAATGGATGGGGAAGGGTGCCTGGGATGTCTCTAGTAGCAGGAAATGTGTCTGTGCTTCGTGCTAAGCTGGGACAGCTCGGAGCCAAGGGCAGACAGAAGCGTGTGTGAAGGAATGCATAGGCATTCCTCAGCTCTTTGAGGGGGTCTCTCACCCTCTCCTTTCCTCCCCCCACGCTAGTGAATCTGCTGGAGAGGATATTGTGCAATCAGGCAGCAAGCCAGGGTCTACGTGCATGGGCAGGGGAATAAACATAGATGGAAGGAGATTTCCTGGCAGCTAGCAGAGGAGTTATGGACACTGAAAACCCCCAAGATGAAAACTTTCTCAGTCTGCAGACATATGATCCCAGGTGGAAGGGCTTTTAAAAAAAAAAAAAAAAAATTCCTCTTCGGCTTTCCTCATCTCTTCCAAATACCATCTTTGGTCCTTCTTTGATCCTGACTTAGCGTCTTCCCATCAGCCCTTATGCTTACATCTCTGTAACTAGCAACTTCCCCGAACAAGGAACGAAACCAAGCATTTGCTCAGTATGATATAAACTGAGGACCAAACTTCTGTCTTGAAAAGGATGCTCCAAATTATGAAGACCAGATCAAAAATTCCTCCTTTACCCCTAGCCGTTTGTGGCTATCCTACTCATAGACACTGCCAAGAGAGGGGGTCTTAGCCACAGGATAACAGTCAAGAGTAGACACACACATCACCCAGAGAGCAGAGGGTGCAGTGACTATCCCTAGGCTGTCCTGCAAAATGAAATATTTTGCTGTATTTGTGCTCAAGACTCCTGAAGGAATTGCTGGAAGCCAGCCTTTCCCTGCAGCCTGACTCTTGCCTGCACCTACCCCACCAGGGCTGTAGCACAGGCAGAATCTGCAAAAAAATGCATGGATGTGGTGGGGGACAGTGCAGCTGTTCACTCACTGCCTCGTGGAAGTGCACGTGATGCTGAACAGAGTAATCAGTCTTACAGAACTGAACAACTTTCAGCCTTTTTAAAGACCTTCCTTACATACGTACACTCGATTTGCTGTTTTCCAGTCATCTGGGATTATCCTCTTGTAATCCTAGCTAATTCTACCTACAGGAAGGCTTAGAACAATAAAAGAGTTAAGCTAATAATCTCCATTTTCTTCTTAGGTAGGACGGTTGCTACCAGGACCTTGTCTGCATCGATTAGGATTTAATACTTTTTGACCCTCACTGAAACAACCTCCGCCTCCTCAATTTGTTCTCACTAGCACCCTTGAGCAATACAGCCTTTAGGCTTGCAGTACACAGCCGTGTTAACAAGCCAGCAGCCATCCTCCTTGACCTTGGTGTATCTGTCAGCATGCTGTCACCGAGGATGGCATCAGAGGTTCTCTTGCCCAGATTGTGGAAATTGCATCCTCCCATTTGTGGGCACCTGCCGGGAAGACATCCCACCACGGCACAGGCAGAAATTCTGCTTAGGAAAGAAAGCTGCTGCAGCTTCCTCCTTTTTTCCTGCACTGCAGGGTATGGGAACAGCACACAGCACCTCCTCCAGACTTAGCAAAATGACAGCTTGCTCACAAGTTAGTTTAGTTTGCTGAGCAAATTGAGAAGCTTCCTGTGCTAGCCTCAGCCCTGGGAACAGGATGCCATCTAAGGAGAGGGAGCAGTTCTTATCTGAGTGATATACAAGTGAAAATTAAGCTCCTTCTTGGGCATAAAACATAGCAGCAGGATGCTCCATCTCCATAGACTGAGTAGGTGTTTACAACAGGAGACAGTCTTCAGAGACATTTCCTCATTTCTGAAACTGCCTACTCACTGACACAGGAAAAATAAAACAAAACAAGAAAACACGTAAGCCAAAGTTGCAGCCTTCTCTGGTCACTCTGCTCCTTCCTGGGGGGCAAGGCAGCACAGAGAAGACACATGCAACAGGAGCGTGAAATACTAACATAAGAACAGAGGCCCCCGCTTTTCAGAAGAGGCATGTGTGTGCCTATTGAGTAGGTATGTTCTCTGTGCTGCCTTCCACTTGTCTAAACAAATTCCAGAGCGTCTCCTTGTGATGCATCTTTAGGATGTGACATTATCACCAAGCGAGAAAATCAAAACAAGAAAGGGAAGGAGAGGATTGGCTGGTTACATGAAGAATTGTGTTCAAGAGCAGAACAGACTGAGGCTTCACAGAACAGAACGGTTGAGGTTGGAAGGGACCTCTGGAGATCATCTAGTCCAACCTCCCTGCTCAAGCAGGGTCCTCTAGAGCACACCGCCCAGGATCGCATCCAGGTGGGTTTGGAATATCTCCAGCGAGGGAGACTCCACTACCTCTCCGGGCAACCTGCTCCAATGCTCTGTCACCCTCACAGGAAGGAAGTTCTTCCTCATGTTCAGATGGAACTTCCTGTGTTCCAGCTTGTGCCCGTTGCCTCTTGTCCTGTCACTGGGCACCATGGAGAAGAGACTGGCCTCATCCTCTTGACACCCTCCCTTCAGACACTTCTACACACTGATGAGATTTCTTCCAGAAAGAAAAGAAGATTTCTTCTTTTCCAGGCTACACAGGCCCAGCACCCTCAACCTTCCTTCAGAGGAGAGATGCTCCAGTCCCCTCAGCATCTTTGTAGCCCTCCGCTGGACTCTCTCCAGCAGTGCCATGTCTCTCTTGTACTGGGGAGCCCAGAACTGGACACAGTACTCCAGGTGAGGCCTCTCACCAGGGCTGAGCAGAGGGGCAGGATCACCTCCCTCCACCTGCTGGCAGCACTCTGCCTAATGCACCCCAGGAGACCATTGGCCTTCTTGGCCACCAGGGCACACTGCTGGCTCATGCTCAACTTGTTGTCCACCAGGACTCCCAGGTCCTCCCTCTGAATGGCAGCACAGCCTTCTGGTGTGTCAGCCACTCCTCCCAGTTTAGTATCATCAGCAAACTGGCTGAGGGTGCACTCTGTCCCTTCCTCCAGGTCATTGGTGAAGACATTGAACAAGACTGGACCCAGGACTGACCCCTGGGGGACACCGCTAGCTACAGGCCTCCAACTAGACTGCGCCACTGATCACAACCCTACTTGTTACTTCACATCCTGCATCACATCTGAGCAGCCTATGTACACAGTAAAACGCCACGTATGCTGCAAGCTCCTTGGGGGCAGGCAGCCACTTACGCTGGCACACCTCTGCAAGGCTGAAAAGACACATTTCTGCAGTGAGAGGTGGGGAAGCTGAACACAAGCAGCAGAGTTGACTCAAGCAGTGAGACCCACCTAACAAAGACTGACCCATAAATCAGCAGCCTGTAGGCAGTAGCACTGGGCTTCCTCTCCCAGTCAATGCTGCTGCTGCACAGACACACCTCTCCCTAGGGCAGTACCTCCTTTGCATCGTCAGCAAAGAAAAGCCCATGATCTTCAGCCCCTACCTCGTATTCAATAGCAAGGTCTGTGTGATCATCAATGTCCACTTTAGCCATCAGCACCTTCCCCTCCTGCTTGGCCACCATTTTCTCCAACCTGGGGCCTAGGATCTTGCACGGGCCGCACCATCTGATGAAGAACGAGGAGAGCAGGCATTAGATTAGGCAAGCACAGCAAGAGCAGCCACAGCAGGGGTTGGTGATACACCAGTGCCTTTACCACCACTTCACTGCCCCTGTCTTCACCCTGACCTTTGTGCCACAGGACAGTGCTAGGATTTAAACAGAGTGTAAACATTAACCCATCCTCCTGCAGCCCTTCCATCCGAAAGCTAAGCTAGCAACGCGTTCTTAAATCACGACTTCAAAAGATGTTTCTATCATAAAGGCAATGTTACATTTTTGAGGGAGTAGGCGAAAGGAGAAAGAGGTCATTATCTAGCATTCCTATTACTCCTGGGGTGCTTTGGATGTCATTTCAATCATGCCAAACTCTGCTCTGCCAGGTTAATGGGGTCCTCCTTCCCCCTCTTCCCAGCCATTCATCCCTACCCACCTCTGTGTTCGTATTGGTGCTTATACATTAAGCTGTAACCCAGCTGATCACTCAGCTGCTGTCATGTGAGCGCTGCCATCAGGTACAAGGGTAGCAGCCCACACTAGGACTGGCTTACACTAATGGTCAAGCAGCAGACTTAGCCTCCATAATAATTGCAGGGTTTACAGCAAAGCCCCCTTTTACTGCAAAAATTGCAAAGATGTAGCATCTGTTAAAAGAAAGGCTACCTCTTTCAAATCAAAGTGCAGTAATAGAGTTTGCAAAGCTTTGTACACAGAAAACGTTAATTGCTTCCTCTAAGCTCATGCCTTCCTAACTGGCAGTTATTCACTTCAAGAAAACATGAGTTAGAGCTCCAAGTGTTCTTTTTGTTTCCTTTTTTATTTAAAATTGAAGCTCTGGTAAGCTTTGTTCCTCCTCAGATTCTCTCCCTGTCAGATTTCAGGCTTTCAATTCGCCCTCTCCTCCCTGGATAATCCCAGTTAACATTCATTTTGGTTTGGTCTATTTAGTGCACAAGTTTTCAGGCTGATTTGTGCCGTTTGCCCAGGATCTGTCACAACAGGCTCACATATCAACGATGCAGGACTACCAAAACACTTCAGAAAACAAAGATATTCAATATCCTTAATCCAGCAGTTAACATCTAGGTATGTTTTTATTGACAAAAGGACGGCAAAATCTTTACTGATGGCAAACGTTCCTGTTGGTATCGCAGCGCTGTTACCTACAAAGGCTTTTGCTATCAACAGCCCTGCCTCAAGAGCAAGTAGCATTAAGAAAACTCGAAAGACAACATGACCATCCAGGGAGGCTTGAATCTTCACAGCCACTCATTCTTCTCACCTGAGTGCTAAGAGCTACTTAAAAAAAGCTGAAGGTACTAAAAAGAGCGTTAAGGAATGATTCCACAGTGGGCACAGCTTCACTTATATTACATTAATGAGGTTATTTGCTTTAATCATGTACCCGGACCTTTGAAGCAAAGTACAGCCAATTGGGCAACGTGTTGCAGGAAGCAACATTACGGCACAGCGCGGAGCGCACCTCTTGAGCCATCCGGGAGCAATGAGATTTGAGAGGCAGCAAAACACAGCAATGAAACCTGTCCCTGGGACTTGTCACCATCAGACTGCAGGCTCCTGCGGTGAAAGGTGAAGCAGCACTGTGCACACAGGACCTCTTAAGTCCCACTGTGTTATGCTCCTTATTTCTTGTCTATTAGCTACACTGACATGCCAATAACATATGAAGCGCAGTGTTTTTCTAATGGTTTTAAGAGGTCATTTAGTCCAGCATAAGGGGGGACATAGAGACATCGGGAATTTTTCAGTCTTGAAGTGTCTTTTACAGGATGATAAAATGCTCAGACCAAGGTAACACCAGAGCATTTTGAAGGTGTAGCTACACTGCCCAGGGGAACACTTTCTTGTTATTTTTGTTTTAAATTCTGGCAGGGCCATGCTACAAAAACATAAGACGGGTGAAATCTCCAAGGACCTCTTAGTAGGGGCAGAAGCGCCTTTTAACGGCAGAAGCTCTGGGGAGGCGGCCAGCAGCATTACAGCTCACACAAAAAGCAGAGGTGGGAAGGGACAAGGTACTCAAAGGGCCGTTACTGCAGGAAAGCAATGCAAAAGTACTTGTATTTGAGAAAACAGAGACTTGCAAAAGCCACTGCTGGCCATGAGCCTGGGGACCTACTGTGCATGGAAATCCACCACGACGGGTTTGGGGTTGTTCACCACCCGGTCCTGGAAGTCGCTGCCGTCCTGCACATTAAAGGTGCTCCCGCAGCCTGCCGGGGTGGCCAGGGCCCTGCCAAAGGCTGGGTGGCCAGGGGGCAGCAGAGGGCCGTGGGGCACTCGCCAGCGAAGCCCAGTCCATGGACCTGGCCGGGGCAACGGGCGGGG